CCCCCCCCAACAGAGCGCTTCTGCTCAGCCCCACTCCTATCTTCTCCACCCTGGCCCGGCTTCTCAATCACTCATGCCTCCAGTCTTTATTAAACACCTACTGTGGGCCAGGATTAACCTGGGCACTGGTGCCAGACTGTGGGCAAAGAGCCACTCTGTCCCTAGCCCCATGGAATCCTCATTCAGTGGCGGGGAGACCACTGGATGACTCCAGTGTTGTGGGCAGGAAGTCCCCGATGCTTCTTTTGGGAGCCTGGCCTGGTCTGGGGGTCAGGGAAGGCATCCCTTCTAGAAGCTGGGATCTTTAGAATGAGGCAAGAAAGTCCTGAGGGAAGATCTCTCTGGCATGTGACTGGCATGTGCAGGCATAGAGATGGGCGTGTGCAAAGTCCCTGTGGCAGGAGAGTGTGTGATACAAGGCTGGCTGTGTGGCCTGAGGTGAGAATGCAGTGTGGGAGGAGGAAGGATGGTGGGTGGCTCAGGGGCCATCCAGGACAGGGGATGCTGTGAACCCAGGATTACCCCCTCATGTCCCCTGTCACCCACTGCCCAGCCCCTAACTTGCCTGTTTCCTGAGACCCCTCCTGCTTCAGTCTCCCCGCCCCTCTCTTTGCCTGCCCTTCAGGGCTGCCCAGGGACTGCCAAGAGCTGTATCAAGAGGGAGAGCGGCAAAGTGGACTGTTCCAGATCCAGCCCCAGGGGTCCCCACCCTTCCTGGTTAACTGCAAGATGACCTCAGGTAGGATGCGCTGGCCCGCCGGGGTGCCCTGCATCCTGTCATGGGCCCTATTGCCATTCCAATCAAATGCAGCTCCCCGCCACCACCCAGGGTTGAGCCAGGTCCAGTGGACCTAGAGAAACTTCCTAGATTTCTAACGCTCCCTCCCTCCCCTCCTCCCTCCTGGGGCCTTGGGACAATGTCTAGGCTGAGCCCCTTGCACATTGGCCAGCCCACCTTTAACCACCTTCTTCTAGTCCTGCTGGGGTGAATGAGAAGACCTTGGCCCTCTCTGGGTTTGGAGGCAGTTTAGGGTTTGAGAGCCAGATGGGAAGTCGGGGTCCCCTGCAAAAAGCGGCCTCCTGATGGCATTGCACCTCTCTGGGCAGATGGAGGCTGGACTGTAATTCAGAGGCGCCAGGATGGCTCCGTGGACTTTAACCAGCCCTGGGAAGCTTACAAGGCTGGCTTCGGAGACCCCCAAGGTGGGTGTTTCCAGCCGGGGGGGGGGGGGGGGGGGGCGGAGGCAGAGAGGGGAGGAGGGGGCGAGGAGGTGGGTCTGACTCACCGATGGGCCTCTCTCTCCCCTGTAGGTGAGTTCTGGCTGGGCCTGGAGAAGGTTCACCGCATCACGGGGGACCGCGGCAGCCGCCTGGCTGTGCAGTTGCAGGACTGGGAGGGCAATGCTGAGTCTCTGCAGTTCCCCGTCTATCTGGGTGGTGAGGACACAGCCTACAGCCTGCAGCTCACAGCTCCCGTGGCCAGTGAACTGGGTGCTACCACTGTGGCACCCAATGGCCTCTCCCTGCCCTTCTCCACTTGGGATCAAGACCACGACCTCCGTGGGGACAAGAACTGTGCCAAGAGCCTCTCCGGTGAGCAAGCTCTGTGCCTCTCTGTCCTGCCTTGCACCACGAGGTCGAGACCTCCTCTCTCTGCCTCTGTGTTTCCCTGTCCTGCCTTCAGTGCCAAATGCCGTCCGTTCTCTGCCCCCCTTTCTCCTAACTTCCTGTGTGTCTTTGGGCAACTGACTTATTACCCTGTCTCACCTTCGGTTTCCCCGTCTTTAAACTGGGTATGACCACAATGCCCACTCCATAGGATTACCTTGAGATGACATTTGTGGGATAGTGGCCGGCATGTGGCCCAGCCACCAAGATAAACCCTGTGTTGGCTTTTGTTTTTGTTTTTTAGTTTATTTATTTTGAGAGCGAGAGAGAGAGCAAGTGGGGGAGGGGCAGAGAGAGAGGGAGAGAGAATACCAAGCAGGCTCCTTGCTGTCAGCTCAGAGCCTGACCCAGGGCCGGAACTCATGAACCATGAGATCACGACCTGAGCTGAAGTCAAGAGTCAGGTGCTTAACTGATTGACCACCCAGGCCCCCCGACCCTGTTGTAATGAAATTGGAGGCAGAACCCAGGCTCTGTAAAGTGAAACATATGACATTGCTTTTTGGTGGGTCAAAAAACGATGGAATACTAATAATTTTATATGGTTTGATCAAATATAAGTTGAAGAAATGGACGATGATCATAGAAAGTCTTTTTTTTAAATATTTGTTTAATTTTGAGAGAGAGAGAGAGAATGTGCAGGGGAGGGGCAGAGAGAGAAAGGGAGACTGAGAATCCCAAGCAGTCTCCACACTGTCAGTGTAGATGTGGGGCCCAAACTCACGAACCCTGAGATCATGACCTGAGCTGAAATCAAGAGTCAGACACTAACCGACTGAGCCACCCAGGCACCCCAGAAAGTCTTTAATAAACGTTTCCCACGTGTCAGGTACAGAACAGTAACTCGTCACAGTCACAGACACAAAAGCTGTAGTTACTGGGAAGGGGTCCAGAGCCCCGAAACTCCTTTGTCACAACCTGGGGTCCCTCAGGACGTCGTGTGACCATCACTAGAAAAGTCTTCCCCTCTGAAGTTTATAAAGTCCGGGGGGCTCCTGGGTGGTTCAGTCGGTTGAGCGTCCGACTTCAGCTCAGGTCATGATCTCACGGTTCGGGAGCTTGAGCCCCGCATCGGGCTCTGTGCTGACAGCTCAGGGCCTGGAACCTGTTTCAGATTCTGTGTCTCCCTCTCTCTCTGCCCCTCCCCTGCTCACGCTCTGTCTCTCTCTCTCAAAAATACAGATTAAAAACAAAATAAAAAGTTTGTGCAGTCCAACACCCAACCGCCTCTCGGTCCCAGCCTCCGTGGAGGCACAGGGACCCCAGCCTGACCAGTTCCTTTTCCTCTGACCCCGGCAGGTGGCTGGTGGTTTGGCACCTGTGGCCATTCCAACCTTAATGGACAGTACTTCCGTTCCATCCCACACCAGCGGCAGCAGCGTAAGAAGGGCATCTTCTGGAAGACTTGGAGGGGCCGCTACTACCCGCTGCAGGCCACCACAATGCTGATCCAGCCGACAGCGGCTGAAGCAGCCTCCTAGCCTCCCCACTGGGGCCTGGCTCCCAGGCTCGTAGACAACAGTGACTTTGACTCTGGCCCAGCGTGTGGCCACTCCCTGCTCAGGCAGGGGCTCGAGACGGGGGCCATCTGGAGCCTCACGGACAGAGAAGATGCTCACGACTGGAGATGCCCCCTTTCTGAGTGGCGGGGTGCAGGTGATACCCTCTGAGGGCAGAGCTACAGGGTTGCAGGGCACAGAGCCAGGAAGCGTGAGACAGAGGGGCGTTGAGGCCCGCTCCTTGCCCAAGGAGTCGAGGACACAGAGGGACCACTCGGGGGCAGCCGAGCCAGCCCTCGAGGGCGGATTCAGTCACATTGACTGGCTGGGGGACCAGGGCTCCCGCGGGCCCCCAGTGCCCTCACGGTGCTCTCGTGTGTGGGTGCTGTGGGATGAGCCGGTGCCAATGACATCTGGGCGGAGCTCACCAAATTCTTGCAATAAAAGCAACCTCAGCACATTTCGTTCTCCTGTGTCCTTCGGTTTGTTTTAAAAGGGGGCAGTTTCAGAGTCCACATAAATGTGTTCCCAGGGTAGAGGGTGAACACTCCCAGGTCCTTCGAGGACAATGCCGATTGGTCCTACAACTGATTTCAATTTCCTCCATATATTATTTCACGACGTGGATCTCAATTTTTGTTTTTCAAAAACCAAGACCCTCATTCAGTCCTTCTGGAAGCAGGTAATAGAGAAAATGAGAACCCCGCCCCCCCTTTTTTTTAAGTTTATCTATTTATTTATTTATTTTGAGAGAGCTAGAGCATGAGCAGCGGGGGGAGGCAGAGAGAGAGGGAGAGAGGGAAATCCCAAGCAGGCTGCGTTGCCGTCAGTGCACAGAGTCTGACGCAGGGCACCAACCCACGAAACCCTGAGACCGTGACCTGAGCCAAAATCAACAGCTGGATGTTTAACTGACTGAGCCATGCGGGCGCCCTGAGAACGCCTTCTTCATCATACTTAACACATGTGAATCACAATGAACTGTTTAGCACCCAGCCATCTGATAGAAATATAACGTGAGTCATGCATTTTAATTTTTTTCTAATAGTCACATTTAAAAAAAGGGAGAAAATAAACAAAAAAAAAGAAACAGATGAAATTAATTTTAGAAATGTATTTTTATCAAGCCCAATGTAACCAAAATATTATCATTTCAACATGTGAGTGATACACAAGTCATTAATGAGATATTTGACACTGCTTGTTTTCTGTACTAAGGCTTTGGAATCCAGTGTTTAGCTTACACTTATGACACATCTTAATTTGGACTGGCCGTATTGCAAGGGCTCAGTAGCCAAGAGGCTAATGACCACCATATTGGCCAGTACAGTTCTAGTGTTTACATGAAAGCAGTGCTTTGGGTAGATTCTTTACATTTTTTGCCACATCAGCCAAAGTTTTCCTTTAAGTTGGCTCTTTTATTTACTTTTTATTTTTCGAAAATGTTCATTTATTTTGAGAGGGGGATGGGCAGAGAGAGAGAGAGAATCCCAAGCAGGCTCTGCACAGCCTGCACAGAGGCCTGGTGGCTCAGTTGGTTAAGCATCCGACTCTTGGGGGGTGCCTGGGTAGCTCCGTCAGTTAAGCGTCCGACTTTGGCTCAGGTCATCTCACGGTTTGTGAGCTCGAGCCCCACGTCAGGCTCTGTGCTGACAGCTCAGAGCCTGGAGCCTGCTTGGGATTCTGTGTCTCCCTCTCTCTCTCTGCCCCTCCCCCACTTGTGCTCTGTCTCTCTCTGTCTCTCAAAAATAAATAAATAAATGTAAATTAAAAAATTTTAAAAAGCATCCAACTCTTGGTTTTGACTCAGGTCATGGTCTCACAGTTCATGAGTTCGAGCCCCACATCGGGCTCTGTGCTGATGGTGTGGAGCCTGCTTGGAATTCTCTCGAATTCTCTCTCTCTGCCCCTCCCCTGCGCTCTCTCTCTCTCAAAGTAAATAAATAAGCTTTAAAAAAAAGAGAGAGAGAGAGGCCCAACTGACTGAACCACCCAGGGGCCCCTAAGTTGGCTTTTTAAAAAAGTTGGCCTTACGTACATAAAAGTATGTATAGAAACTCAACTCATATTTATAGAGTTCTTACTACATGCCAAACCCTTGTAGTAAGTGCTTGGAAACTAAATCCTAGTGAACAGAAAGATTCCTGCTCTCACCAAGCTTACCTTCAAAGCCCTTCCTATCACAGATAGTTTGGCCTGTAATTGATGGTCCAAAGTGAGGCACTTTTGACTGGGGGGAAAAATACAAACAGTGGTTGACACTGAAAAAATGGGTGGGATTTGACTGAGAAGTGGGCATGAGGCAGCCTTCCCCGGTGACGGTGACGTTCTGAGCCTTCCTAGAGATGGGTTACTCCGCCATATGCCTTTGTCTCTGTGAATGGACACTGAAGATCTATATTGCATTATATGTAATTTTCACCTTAGAAGAAGAAAACACAAAAAGAGCCATAAACGAATATTGAACTCGAGCTGATGACATGCATGCTGAAGTGTTTACAAGGGGAAGTAGACTAATGTATTCAACTTTCTTTCATTTTTTTCCCCAGCTTTTTTAGATACGACTGACATATGATATTGCGTAAGTTTAAGGTGTACAATGTGTTGATTTCATACACCTATATATTGTGAAATGATTACCACCCTAGTGGTAGCTAACACTTCCATCACATCACATAGTTCTCTTTCTTTCTTTCTTTTTGTTGTTGTTGTAAGAACATTTATTTATTTTGTTTATTTGTTGGGAGAGAGAGAGAAAGAGCACAGGAGGAGCAGGTGGGGGGGGGGCGGGGGAGAGAATCGCAAGAAGGCTCCATACTGCCAGCACGGGGCCGGATGTGGGGCTCAAACTCACAGAAGCATGAAATCATGACCTGAGCCAAAATCAAGAGTTGGATGCTCGACTGACCAAGCCCCCCAGGCACCCCTGTGGTGAGAACATTTAATGTCTCCTCTCTTAGCAACTTTCAAGTACTAACTAAAATCACCATGCGATACATTAGAGTCCTCCAAATTTTCAACTTTCATTGAAATGCATCAAAAAATAAGATGATGGCTGGTTGGATAGAGAGATGGGTGTATAATAAAGCAAAATGTTAATAGTGGAATCTAGGTATTCTCTGTACAGTTCTTTCCATTTTTCTGCGTATTTTTAAAACTTCACAATAAAATGTGGGCAAGAAAATTCTAGCCAGATCCTGTTGCCTTCTGAAGGCTCTCAGCCTGCCTCGGGGCTCTGTATAAAAAGGGGAGATGGGGCTAGAAAACCGTTCAAGATGGATGGATGAGCAAGAAAGAAGCCTTTCTCATTGATAGATGATAAAATACTTCAAAACTGGGAAAAAGTTAAGACTTTCTCAGCTTGTGGGTCAATGCTATTTAATGTATTGCCTACAATTGTCACTCCTATCTTATGGCTTGGAATATGTGATGTCTTATCTCCAGGACACATGTTAGGGAAAGGCAACATCTGTCTGTGTCCTGAGGGCCCAGCTGCTGTGTGTGTGTGTGTGTGTGTGTGTGTGTGTGTGTGTGTTTTGTTCGTTTGTTGTTTTTGTTTTTGTTTTTAAGTAGGCTTCACACCCAGCATGGGGCTTGAACTCACAACACTGAGATCAAGGGTCAGAAACTTCAGACACTTAATCGACTGAGCCACCCAGGTGTCCCTTAGCTGCTGTTTTAACAGGGGAATATATTTTTCTAATATGCCTCCTAAGTGCTCCTAAGGTAGTAGGGGGCCTCTTTTGGTAGAAGAAAAGTCTGTGACTTTCTTCTCCGGTGACTCTTCCTGGATGATGCTGGGACACAGTAACTTCCGTGGGGCCCTGGCTGAGTACGGGTGATGAACTCCTCAGCTGGAGGCCAGACTCCCTCCAGGCTCCTTGTCTGGCGGTGTCCCATACTAGGCGGGCTTGCAGAGTCTCCCTTGAGCCCGTTATGGTTGGAACTGGTGGGAAGTCCCGTCTGTGGAGGTTGGCAGGGGAGGGGGTTCCCCCACCTATGCCATTTCAATTCTCAAGCTCTGCCAAGAAAGCTCATCCCCCCCCCCCAACTGTCCCTTCTCCTCCTCTCTTCCGTCTCCAGGAACAACACAAAGAAACATACACTTCATGATCGAACCAAAACAGAGCCAGGATGTCGCAGACCTATTCAGACTCTTCAGCAATCATTCTCCTGTTGACTAGTGCTCACTGCCAACAAGTTCGAGCTTCAGCTCCTGCTCTGAAATAAGGGGAGGGCACCTAGTACTCCCACCCTCCCATTCCACCTTTCTCTTCTCCTGGTGCTGTGAGGATTTCATGCAGCAGTAAATGAAAGCAAGCCCAGGGGGGGCTCTAGGTATGGCACGTTCGGTTAGGCTGTCCGATTCCAACGCAGGTCCGCGATCTCACGTCGTGAGTTCGAGCCCGCGTCGAGGGCTCTGGGCTGATTGCTGACTCAGAGCCTGGAGCCTGCATTCGATTCTGGTACTCTCTCTCTGCCCTCGCTCCGTTCATGCTCTGTCTCTCGTCCCAAAATAAATAACGTGTGGAAAATAGATTTGAAAAGCAGCCCAGGACAGCTGACCAGTAGTGAGCACCTTGACAATATAAATCAGTGTCGTCATTACAATACTATTATCACTCTTAATTCGTTCTGGGGGGGGGGGGGGACTGCAGAGAAGGACCCGAATTCTCAGACCGGAGAAAGCTTTCAGGGTGAAGATGACTTTTCAGCATTTTCAAAAGAAGGATGAAAATCACACGAAGGTGGAGGAAGGAGTAGGACATAGATAGAGGAACAGTGACATCAAAGCCTAAGTGACGTCATCGGAAAGTAAAGCTTCCTTGGGGAATCAGCAATAATAGCGCCCCATGTGCTGCAGTTTGGGCAGGAAGTGGGACAGATGGGAGCTGGGGGGCGGAGGTTTAGATGCAGAAGTTACTCAACCCAAGCCATCCCAGGAGGTGTGCTCATAAAGCCTGGGGCCACCTGATCGCTTCCGGTCTCGGCTTTCACTCCTCTTCTGAGTCTTTGGTCCCTGGATCCAACTCAGTCACCAGTGGCCATACATGCCTGGCGATCCATAGAGCTCTCTCTCTCTCTCTTGCTGACGTGCCCCTGAAATGCTGTTCCCACGCTTCTCCCCTTTCCAAACTTAGGAGCAAATTATCTGCTCCGAGACTTCCTCCCATGGTCCTTAGAAATTCATAGGCTGATATGTGCCTGGTCCTTCCCACTCAATGCCTACCCTCATGTGCCATGAACTACTGTCATGTTGTTTACTGGTTTCATCTGCCATACCCATAGACTGTCAGCTCTGTGGAGGGCTGGACTTTTTGTCTCATTCGTATACTGCCTATCCAGCACCTAGAGTCCCCTGCACTAATAGCATGTGCTTAGTAATGCTTACTAAAGGAAGAACCAAAGTTTTTTCAAGAGTGAGACAAATCTGACTTATGTTTTTAAAAAAACGCCCTAGGGGCTCCTGGGTGAAGCTCAGACAGTAAGACTGACTCTTGATTTGGGCTCAGTACACAGATCTCATGGGTTCCTGAGTTTGAGCCTCCTGTAGAGCCTGGCAGATTCTCCCTCTCCTCTCTCTCGGTTGCACATGGCACTCTCTCTCAAACCTAAACTTTAAAAGATAAGATAAAATAAGACTGTTGACTGGGGGGGAGCTTCATTGGCTCAGTCGTAGAATATATGACTCCTTGGATCTTGGGGGTGTGTTTGAGACAGGGAAAAGATTACCTTACTGGACAATCTGTACTGGTAGACTACGACAGGTTCAGGACTGAGGGGGTGAGTAGGTGGTCAGAAATTTGGGAGGGAAGAGGAACATGATAAATACAACTAGAGGAAAAGGAGGGAGGAAGAAGCAGGGGACTAAGAGGGAGGAGAGGTTCATGACCTTGGCTGGAGATGGGCAGAGCAAGCACAGTGGGGAAGTGGTGGGGAGAATAGTCACAGGGGAGGAGACCTGGAAGAAGACCAAATTAGTGTCTGAGATGCCTGCTTGGACAATCCAGATGAAACTAGGGGCTAATTATAATACATTAATTATGGTCATAACAAAATAACTACTTAAGAGCTCTCTGGTTATATTATTCATCGCTGATCAACTATACATTGCCAGCACTGGGAACTTTAGCACCCACAGTGACAGAAGTCCTGCCTTCATGGGCTGATTCTGCCTGCTGCAGGGGACCATAAAGATTATTGGACAAATGAGAAATAATATATATATATGTATTTATATATATATATATATATATATAGATAGTATATATATATACTATTTCTTTTTTTTTTTTTTTAAAACGCTCCCGTAGCCCCTCCGGCCCAAACTCCCCACCCTGAGATCAAGAGTCATAGGCTCCACCGACTGGGCCCGCCAGACACCCCCAGAAATACATAATCTAATGTCAGGTAGTGATAAACCCTCGGGGTGGGGAGGTGGGGATGCGAAATAAAACAAGGCGAGGATTTAGAGAAGGGGAGATCATGTTGGAGAGAGTCTGACGTCCAGGAAGGATTTCATAAATATTTGTTAAAGACTTAATGACAGAAAGTGGATGGTTGATTTACTGAGTGTTTAGGGAATTGATCTAGTTATCCTCAAAAGATTCCAGGAGGTGAGTTCCTTCCGTTATGTAGCGGAGAAAACTGAGGTAGAGGGGTATCTTAATGACTCAGAAACGTAGTGATGGAAACCCAACCAAGGGAGGACAGGGAAACACTAGGTGGAAATCCCCCCTCCCCCACCAGCTCAGAGGCCCCCGGAAACGGTCATTTGCCAGGGCGGAGGAGGCAGAGCAGAGCGTATTGACCTATGACGTCATCGGGACGTTAAATAGCGTAACATCACCTGGACGTAGACCCATTTCCCTTCCCGGACAGGTCCTCTGGTACTCCGGGACCTCCTGAATCAGGCCTCTCATTGGTTACTCGCTCCATCAATCTGTTTCATTCTTACAGTCTTCCGCCCCGCCTTCCAGAGCCCACCTCTGATAGGCTGACGCGGACGTCACTTCAAAAAGGTCCGCATTCCTTCCGCCTTTCTCCAGGAGACCGAGGGCGAGAGGGGTGGATCCCAGGCAGCGCCCACCCCTGAGGCTCTGCTTCCGCCTGTAATTGGCTGCCCTGGGTGCCGGTCGCTACGCCACCCGCCTCTTATTGGTCATCTATCCGCCGCTCTGCGCGGCGCCGGCTCCGCCCCCGTCGGGTGTTTGTGGTGGGGCTGCGGAGTCGCCGATCCCGCCGGAAGCGCCAGGACAATGGGGACCCGGGACGACGAGTACGACTACCTATTCAAAGGTGCGGTCGGTGGGACACAAACGGGCGAGGGGACGACGGGGAGGTGGCGGACCGAGGCTGCGCTCCAGACCGCTGGGCCCAGGCCGGAGCCCGGGACTTGGGGCCCGGCGGGTCAGGCAGCCGGGAAGGCCAGGGAAGTCTGGGCTCAGTCAGCTTTGCGGACCGGACCGGCGGCCCAGAGAGGCCTGGGGGCCTTGGATGCGCCGAGGCGGGGCTGGGGCCGAGAGGGGGTGGGGCCCGAAGCGGTGGGAGAGGCCGTTAGGGGCGGGGCCTCCGGGAGCCGGGCCTCCCCAGCGTTTGGCGGGCCGGGCTGGGTGGAAAGCTCCATTCGAGACGGGGGCGGGGCCGCCAGAGGCGGGGCTAGGGCGTGGTGGGCGTGCCCAAGAAGTGGGCTGGGACGGGGCAGGTGGGGGTGGTGCTCTCGCGGAGTGGGAGGAACCAGCCCTGATTGGTAGCAGCATGTCTGGGGGCGGGAAGAGACGGCAAGGTAGGGGTTGAGGTGTGTGGTAGGGGACCCTGGAGTGGGGTGCTGACCCAGAATTGCTTGGAGGGGCGCCTGGCGGGGGGACTGTGTGTGCCAGGCTTGCTGGTTAACCGCAACAATTATCTTTGAGCTCTCAGAACTCTTAATTATCGAAGTACCCGCCCTTTCCCAAGCATTCCCGCTCATGAATTCGTTGCATGAATTCACCCCAGCTCTGTGAAGTCGTCGGTATTCTCCAGCCTCTCTCTGTGGACTTGGAAACTGAGACCCAGAGAGAGAGGGCACGTGTTGGAGCAGGATTTGAATCCAGGTCAGCTGTGGGCTTTACCACCTAAGGAGTATATATGGGACTAATAAGCTTATCAGACCACCTCTCCCCACACATGCGCACTGGTAGGCCTGCTTTCCGCCAGCCTGCTGGAGGATCGTCCCTGCCCAAGGGACAGAGGGCTCTAGAGCCTCGAGTGAGGCCTCGGCAGATCAGGCAGCCATTGCTGGCCTAGCTCCCTCAGCCTGCAGCCCCAGCTGGGAAGACTCCCGCCATCCACATCGCTGGCGTTGTGCACTGATTTCAGAGTCACTGGCTTCACGGTGCCAACCTGGGCTTTGGCCAGGTCCCGTGCTGTCCGTTCTGGGCTCCCTGGACGACAGTGGTTGCCTTTGATAGCTACCCTGGGGCCCCGTGACACACCGTTGTCCTGCTGCCTGCCGCTTGAGGGTCTGCCTCCCACACCAGCTGTTGGTATCTCCCCCTCGTTGGGCAAGCGTGGAGATCCCTGGGAGGGCAGTCTGTGTCCGTCGCTGACCATTGTGTCTGTGGTCTCCTCTAACACGTTGGGGCTGGGAGCCTGGGGATCTTGGGGCTGTGGAGAGCCAGGTGGAGCGCTCCCTACCTGGGATATCCATGTGGTGAGAGGCTTCTGGGCTGGGGGGAGGGCCCATGCAAAGGCCCAGAGTTGGCACACAGCACCGTGGGCCCAAGGAGCTGTGTGCAGGCTGATGCGTCACTGGCAGGTGAAGCTGTGTGGTCAGCAAGCATGAGTCCAAGGCCTGACTGAGCCTTGGGGTCTCACGTTAGGGGCCGGGGAAGCTCAATCAGGGCTTTGGGGACTGGCGACAGGTGGACCGGACTCCATCCTGCTGCAGCTGGTGCCCGGAGGCCACTGCTCCCCAGGTCCTGACTGGTCACCCGCCTGGATGGGGACCCCCCCCAGGGCAGGGGGCGTTTCCCCAGGAGTCACCGCCAGGTTTTGATGGTCCTTTCCCACTTGTTATTTTCAAGCACTTGCTGTTATAAATAACTCAGCTCAGTGTTTTTCCCAGTCATCTTTTGCCCTTTGGGTTATTTCTTTGAAGTACGTTCCCAGAAGCACCGTTACTGGGTCAGGGGCAGTGGGGCGGCTGTGTGCTTCCCGGGACTCAATCTCCAGAGTCTGCTTCCTGGAAACACAGATCTGACTTCTGCGGCAATTGGCAGGGGTGGGGGTGGGGAGGTTGCCTGTCCTGCTTTCCTCCCCCACTGGCCTCGTTTCCCGAGTTGGCAGGTGCCCTGCTGACCTTTCCAAGCAGAGTTAGGAGTGAAAGTCTAACCCACAAGGTCAGTACTTCCCAGACTGCGGTCATCTGAGACCACCTATCCACACGGATGCCTTATTGGAGGTCTCCTCATTGTCTTTTCATGTATGTCTTTAAATCCACTCGGTTTTTCACTCACTTAAACGGGAAAAGGAAACTGGGTGGGTCTGGCACATACAGAAGAAAGGAAAAGAAGCCAGCAGGTAGGCAAGCCACCACTGTCCCATCACTTGCCAGTGACAAGACAGCTGAGACAGAAACATGAATATACTGTCGCCCCGGACCCTCCTAAGACCCCTGTGGCCTGCAGAGGGGCAGGTCTGGGCATTAGACAAGTGCACAAGGTAAGAGTGTACCAGAAGGGGTGACAGGGGCCAACTTTCTTTTTTGTTTGTTTGTTTGTTTTTTATCAAATGTTTCTTTTTGAGAGAGAGAGAGAGAGAGAGTGTGCATGAGCAAAGGAGAGGCAGAGAGAGAATCCCAAGCGGGCTCCATGCCATCTGCACAGAGCCCAACGAGGGGCTTGAACTCACGAACCGTGAGATCATGACCTGAACCAAAACCAAGAGTCAGATGCTTAACCAACTGAGCCACCCAGGCACCCCACAGGGGCCAACTTTCTGACCTTGAGGCTTGCCAGCCCTGCTTCCTGGTGGGAGGGGGCCATTCAGGAGCAGGGGGGCCAATGATCCTCCTGCCCCCAACCCTGTGCTCAGCCTCCCCCAGGCTTTAGTCACCTTCTGGCCCTTCCCTTGGCACGGAGAGGCCACACTTTTCACCCGGGACACAGCCTGCGCCTTGTTTAGCCCTCCTGCCACCGCCTTGGTTATGTTGGCAGCCACATCACACGTTAGCTCCCTTGACCTCCAAGACCAAGGCCAATAGAATCCCCCTGGGTGTTTTCCTCACTGCACATTCCCCTCCTCCCGCAGGAGTAAGGTTGTTTATTTGTACCTAATTATAGATCTGCACGTTTATCCTGCTAACATTTTATCCTGTCAGCCATGGGGCTATTTTCCCAGCCTGCAGATCAATCCCTGGGGGCCACCTCTGACCTCTCTTCTGGTAGGCCAGGCTGCGGGGTCCACAGCGGGAGCAGCTATGTCCCCAAGGGCCGCCGAGGACTTCCTAGAGCCCCTGGCCACTCACCTAGCCTGTGAGGATGTGGGTTGAAGTGGGACGCTGCTGAGGTAGCCCAGGACCTTGTCCTCCAGGCTTTGTCTACCCCTGGACCGTCTTCAAGTCCTTTTGGGAAAGGGGTCGAGCAGAGAGTTGCAGCTGGCACCCAGGGAACAGGCCAGGCCCCAGTGCTCACCCGCCTCTGCTGAGTGCTTCCGAGGCAGCCTCCTGGCTCTCCAGCCCGGGCAGGGCCCCCACCAGACCCGCCGGTAAGGACCCAAGCGCACCATCTTCCTCCGGTGAGCAGCCTTCCCTGTGTCCTGGCTTTGGGCACCTGTCTGTCGTCTACTCTGATGCCCCAGGACATGGCTGTGGCAAGATTGCCCCCAAGCGCCAGTCCCTGGGGCCTGGGATGGTCAGGGCTGGCTTTCTGCAGGAGAGGCAGGGTCCTGTTCTTGCTGGAGTAGGGGACCCAGCTCCCCTATCCCCGCAAATGGCCACTCAGTCCATGAGTGTCCTGAGTGCAGGCTCCAGGGGTGCCGTGCTATCGTGGGGCAGGTCAGAGGACCCTGGGCTTTAAGAGGTGCCAGCTCCTTGTTTTTGCCAACTGGGCTTGCCTGCTCTGCCAGCCAAATGGCATGTCCAGGGAGGCAGTTTCCCTGGCCATTGGTGCCACCAACTTCTGTGGAAATTCTACGGGCTGTGTCCTCAAGGGCCCTTTATTTCCCCCAAGACAGTAGATCACTTGTGCCTTGGACAATGCCGTTCTCATTCCCAGCCTGCACAAGGGGCCAGCCTGGCCACTGCCCCACCGGCCACCTCTCTGCATTGGGCACCGTGTGCCAGGGACTGTCCAAGCAGCCTGGCTTTCCCGTCGTTCATCTGGGCCATGGCTGGTGGCTCTCATCCTGCTCTGGCCTCCACTTTCTCACTGGGGGACCCTGGACCAGGAACTTTGTCACTCTGGGTTGAGTGTCCCCAACTGTAGAAGGGGAATGATAATATGAACATTTGTCCCAGGGGTGGCCCTGAGAACACAGTCACAAAGCCTTTAGGGCTGAGCCTGGCCCGAGGTGCTAAGGGGCTTGTTGGCTAGGCCACAGCAGAGTGGGTGGGGCCAAGGGGACTCTGAAGTTGTATAGTTGTGCCAAGGCTGGGAAGGGAGGGAGCAGGTAGGGGTGGGGATACAGGGCAGGGCCCAAAAGGCACCCTCTTGGTCATTTCCTGTTCTATTCCTAAGGGTATAAAAATTGTGAGCACACCCCTCCAGCCTTGGCCAGGTCCCCCTGGCCGCGTGGGAAGGAGGGGAGGGCTTGGGGGTGTAGGTGGTGGGCCCCACAGCATGGCTGAGAGCCACGGGCCCATGTCCGTCCCCACTCTTTCCACCTTTCTCTCAAGTCAGCTCGCCATCTTCTGTTGGGCACCCCCAGTGTCACAAGAGAACACTGGCCCTGTTATCATAGGTGCCGTGGGCCAGGCCACATGGTTGTTTGAGGGGAGAGGAGAGGCCTGACTTGAGGGGTTTTGAAGGATGAGCAGGAGTTTGCCATGTATTCCAAGGGTCAGGAAGCCTCCCCCGCCCCTGAGCTCAGCCCTGGATGCAGAAGACATGGGTTCAAATCCTGATGGACAGCTTTCCAGCCAGGAGGACCTGGGCAAGTCACTGTCTGGTGAGCATGGTTGGGAGGTAGGAGCGAGCCTGCGTTAGGCTTGGCATTCTCCCACTTCCTAACCCGTAAAGGTTACATGAGACATGTGTGAGGGGGGTCCAATCAAGGGCTTTCTTAGTACAGACTCATTAAAAAAAAATTTTTTTTTTTAACACTTATTCATTTTTGAGAGTGAAAGAGACAGAGCATGAACAGGGAAGGGGCAGAGAGAGAGAGGGAGACACAGCATCCGAAGTAGGCTCCAGGCTCTGAGCTGTCAACACAGAGCCCCATGCAGGGCTCGAACCCACAGACTGCGAGATCATGACCTGAGCTGAAGTCAGACGCTTAACCGACCGAGTCATCCCAGTACAGGCTCATTAAACATTCTTCTTGCTCTTAGTGTTCTTGGCTCTAAAGTAGCCGGCCGAGAGAGGGTGCTGGGTCCTGGGTGCCTTGCCTGCCTCCTCACCTGCGGCCTGAGGATGGTAACCTGGGCATCTTCCAGGGGGCAGGGAGGCTGGGACGCTCCACCGGCCGCCTTGGCATCGGTTCATTCTGCAGGTGTGGATCAGGTGCTTCCTGCGTGCTGGGCGCTGCACCAGGCCGGGACCCAGCAGGGAAGGAGACTGACTGAGGTTCCTGCCCTTGTAGCCCAGTGGGAAAGACTAAATAAATAAGTGAAAGCTGCAGTGTGAGAGAGTGGGGAGAGCTGTGGAGGAAGTCAGGTGGGGCAGGGAGTGGGCTTTTAAGCGGATGGCAGCGAAGCCCTCTTTGGTCGAGTGCCATCAGAGGGACCACACCGAGGAGGCGAGGGCAGACACCAGGCAGGTACCTGGGGAAGAATGGTCCAGGCGAAGTGCAACGTGCCCGTGTATCTCCTAGTCCTGGTGAGGAGGCCCGTGTGGCAGGAGCAGAGTGGGCGAGAGGGAGAGAGGGAGGAGGGGAGGGCAGGGAGGGCACGGGGCAGGTCATGCAAGGCTCTGTGGGTGGGCCTGGACTTGGACTTTTACCCCAGGGAGGAGGGCGCCCTGGAAGGCTGTGGGCAGAGGAGGGCGGGGCCTGGCTTGGCAGCTCACAGGCGCCCTCTGGTGGCCTCCAGGAAAACAGCCTGTTGGTACGAGCGTAACCACCAGGGCTGCGGAGGGACGCGTGTGTTGAGACCAGAGTGGGGGCAGTGACGCCGGTCAGAAGCCGTGGGAATTTGGGCATGCACATATACAACTTTCCACCGAGGAAAAACTTTTAACTAGGGCTGTGGGTGACCAAGCCTACAGCCCCCGTGACTTTCCACTGGACAGACCCACCCTTGGGTGCCAGAGCCCAAGGCCCCCACTTGTAGTTTCTGCCTGGGGTCTCTGGCCAGACAGCTGCGTACTGTTTCTTCTACGTTGTACGTATAGCCGCGCGTGCGTGTGCGGCACATACACTGTGCACACACAGAGGTGAGACTACCTGGGTCTAAGGACAGCCTCTTGGGCTCAGACTCCTGGACCATGTCATGTGGCCCTGTCACAGAGCCTGGGGCACCTTGGTCCCTAGAGGCAATGCTTCTATGGCTGGGGCAGGAAACTTGGGAAAGAGAGGGATAAAGGCAGAGACTGGAGGGGCCTGCTCTGCCCTCTTCAGGACGACTCTTGCTCTGGATGTCTGCAGAAAGGGCTGACTCTGGGGCCGTGGGGGTGGCGGGCTCTGTCCCCTCCCAGCTGCATCCAGAGGGCACATTCCTGTTCCGCATGAGCCAGCTGTGACTGTGCTGGGGCCCGAATGTGGATTGGCTTGCAGCAGCTCTCCAGAAGGAAGCAGAGGGTGGGCGCGGGGGTGAGGCTTCCCATTTCCTGTTACTTGCAGCTCCAGAGACAGACCCCTGCAGGTAAGAACCTAGGGGAACTGTAGTAATAACCGCTCCCCTGCCTGTCTTAGCACGCTAGATGCTAGCGGAGTTCTGATCCTGCCATTTCTCCTCGAGTCCCCCTCTTGCAGAAAAGGCAGCTCAGAGAGGTTAAGTGACTTGCCCAAGGTTGCCCAGCCCTGGAGCTTTTTTGGCCACTGGGCTGCCGTGGAGCCAGTTCAGGGGTTCTGAGTGGGATCCCCACCCTGCCTGCCTGCCTGCCAGAATGTCTGGGTCCCTACACCGCAGCTGAGGCAGCTCTGCTCTGAAGAGACCAGAGACGGCAGGGGTGTCGTGCTGTCCGCAGTGGCTGTGCTTCTGGAAGCCCAGAGCCTCTGCTTCTGCCCCGGGAAAGGCGGTGCCTCGGGCTCCGACCGCCCCGATGTCGGTTTCCAAGCTGGCTCCGCACCTGGGACGCCACCGTTCTATAGGTGGCCGTGGGTGGTGTGTGGGCCTTGGCTCGGGAACGCCGGCCCGCAGAGTCTTACCCGTGTCCCTCCTGCCCCCAAAGTGGTGCTCATTGGGGACTCAGGCGTGGGGAAGAGCAACCTGCTATCACGCTTCACCCGCAACGAGTTCAACCTGGAGAGCAAGAGCACCATCGGCGTGGAGTTTGCTACCCGCAGCATCCAGGTGGACGGCAAGACCATCAAGGCGCAGATCTGGGACACCGCCGGCCAGGAGCGCTACCGTGCCATCACCTCTGCGTGAGCGACAGGGCCGGGGTGATGCAGGCAGCCGTGGGTGGGGGGGCCCCTGGGGAGAAGGATGGGTAGGAGTCGCATCGGAGGAGGAGAGAGCGGATCTCTGAGGGCGGGGGGCCCGCAGTGGAGGGACAAGACCCCCAGGAGCTAGGGGATCCTCAGGAAGACCCGTGTGCCCAGTCTCGGCCACTCTGTGACCCCGGGGCAGGCATGTCCTGCAGTGTCTCTGGCCCCCGGAGTCCCGTGAAGCCCTGCGGTTTTGCTGGGAGCTGGCTGCACGATGAGAGTTGTTACCCCGGACCGGCTTGGGCCCCTGTGGCCGCTCGCCAGCCCTGCCTGCCTTCCCTCAGCTTCCCTCTGCGCTTCAGCTCCCACCTGGTCCCACACCTGTCCTGTCCTCCCACGCAGCTCTCGGTGCTCCCCGGCCACCAGTACCCACTGGGGCTGCCTCTTCCCAGACCTTCCCTGTCAGTCAGCTGCGTCCTCCGGACTCCCCCCGCTGGTCACCTTCTCATGTCCTTAATCCCTCGGGATGGGTGTGTGTCCGTCAGCCTCCTTGGTGGTCAGGCTGGCCGAGCCTTTGGTGGGCGCTGGAGCTCTTGCCCAGCAGTGGCCCTTTCCTTCTCCCCTTTTGTGGCTGACCCCAAGGGTGTCTTCTGACTTTGGGTCCCAGACTACTTCCTCTGGTCCCATATTCCCCAGCTGAACCTGGGGAGCAGAGCCTGAACCTCGGGATACAAGCATCTCCTGTGAGGCCACCACGGCTGCCCCTCGGGCGGGCCCTGTGCCTCCTGCTCTGTGTGTGGGCTGAGGAATGCCGCCCCCGGAGCCTGGTGCAGGGAACTGGCGGCCGGCTCAGGCTTGGGCCCCGCGTCCTGCCCCACAGCTACTACCGCGGCGCGGTGGGTGCCCTGCTGGTGTATGACATCGCCAAGCACCTGACCTACGAGAACGTGGAGCGCTGGCTGAAGGAGCTGCGGGACCACGCCGACAGCAACATCGTCATCATGCTGGTGGGCAACAAGAGTGACCTGCGCCACCTGCGGGCCGTGCCCACTGACGAGGCTCGTGCCTTTGCAGGTGAGTCACGCTGGGCTGGAGCAGGTGAGGCTGGGGGCTGCCGGGGCTTCCCCCATGGGCCACATTCCCGAAAGGCATGTGACTGAGGCATCGGAGAAGCATCTGGAAGTCAGGCAGCACCCCCACCCCGGCCCCTGCCATCTTCCCTGTCTGTGCCCACGGCCTCAGTGCCAGCTTCCCCTTCCTGATGCGTGGGCATCTCAGTCCTCTCTCTTTGACCCCAACCCTTCTTTTTCCTGGGCCAGGCAAGCAGGGTCCCCGAGAGGGCACAGGACAGCACCCTCCACCACCTTCCCGCTCACCTGGGCATTATTCTTTTTGTTCCAGAAAAGAACAACTTGTCCTTCATTGAGACCTCAGCCTTGGATTCCACCAACGTAGAGGAAGCTTTCAAGAACATCCTCACAGGTGGTCACAGGGCCTGGCTGAAGCCATGGTGGCCCCCCGCGTGCCTGGGGAGGGCGGGCGTGACGGGAGCACCGGCCACTGGGGTTGCAGGCTCCGGAACATAACCTCTGGAGCTTTATTCTTTAAACCTGTGAGTGGGTCTGGACTGAGAACAGACATGGCGTGCTCCATGGCCTCAGGCCAGATCGCGGCCCTGCTGTCACTCAGGACATAGAGACTCTCCCTCCACCCAGCTTCTCCAGGGGGCCCTCCCTGGCTTCACCAGAGAACAGCCAGCTTGGGCAGCTGCGGAGCAGGCGGCATCAGGGGCGCAGGGCCCTCGGGCTTCTGAGAGTTTATTCCGGGGGGGCTTGGGGGGGAGCTCTGATCTTACAGGATAAGAGGCCGGGCGTGGGGGAGGGCTATATGTGACCAGATACGGTCTTGCCTT